CTCTCTAGCCGCCATTTAGAACATGAGACCCCTGCCCTGGACTTCTCAGAAACCCTACGCACAGGCTCAGACAGCCATAACAGGCCCTGCAATGCTGGTTGAGGACACCCAGCATGCAACAAGTGCAGTCATCTCAAGTGCTGAATGGGGCTTGGTATGAGCTTTAGCCTTCCATGATTTAAAAAAAAAAAAAAAAATGCTGTTCTAGGGGAGCCAGGCCAGTGCTGGAGGCCTCAGATGGCCTTAAAATTTATTTTCTAGTTTAAAGATAGTTGTTCCTTCACATGTAGATGGAGCTACCTAGCATACCAGCTATTTAACCTTCACACTGACACATCCAAGGGCTCTCTCCAGAGCATGATATAGAAGACTCTCACTCAGCTGTTCTGGAGAAGAGAGCACTGATCCCCATCCTCCAGACTAGGTGGGTGTCCGAGGGGTAGAGGAAAGATCAGGCTCAGGCTCACCTGAGTTCAAATTCTACCTGGCTGTGTGCTATGGACAGGGTCTCTGGGTCCTCCAAGGCTCAGTACCCTCCTTACTGCTTAGGAAAATGAGAATAAAATCTTGGCCTCATCAGATCACTGTGAGGACTGATCAAAATTACATATCTAAACCATCTAGCCAAGTGCTGACTGAAATCATCACTTAAAACTATGAAAAATGAAGTTGGCAACCCAGGCACAGTTACCCCAGTCTCCAAGTTTCTCCAAGTTCAATAAGACTCATCTTACCCTCACTTCCACTGTGTCACTGGCTCTAAGGGAAGGGCTTTCTCTGCCTAAGATTTAAAGTTTATAAACTCCAGAGCCCAGATTCATACTGGCGTCACCTATCCTCTCATCTACCATGCTACAAGAAAACTGCAGACATGCTGTCTCTTAAATAAGCCTGCTGTTTTTTCATTCAACAAGACCTTTCTTGAGCATCTATGATGTATAAAATATTATCATCTATAAATGAGAATGGAACACAACTCCAACAGGGGGTAGTACAGAGCACAGAGGAAAATTAGGACCTGTATGTATCAGAGAGCTGGGGCTGGCTTTCTGGAGAAAGCACCACTGTGTGAGGGTCATACTAAGGCATACGTGCCTAGAGACACTGCAGGGAGTCCAAGCATTCAAACCTTCCTTCTCTCAGCTCCGCTCAGGCCAGCCAGGCCATCATCAACGATGACATCATCATCATCAATGGCAACCACAATGGTATTATTATTACTTTTTTTTTTTTTTTTTTTTTGGCAGTACTGGGGTTTGAACTCTTGCTAGGCAGGCACTCTACCATTGAGCCACTCCTTCAGCCCGGCAATCACAATGATGATAGCCACAAACATTTGTTGAATGCAGATGACGGGCCAGGCACTGTGCTAAGCCTCTGCATCCTTTCAGTTAATCCTTGTGATGATGTATGATACAGGTATAATTAATGTCCCCATTTTATGAATGTGGGAAAAAAAGGCACAAAATGTGAAATAATATGCCCAAGAGCTGAAGCTGGGAAATGGAAAGTCTTCACTGTTCCTACTTTGCTCAGCTCTTCCTCTAGAAAAATCAGCCATCTACCCAAGGAAACTGCCCTATGTTAAGCCCACAAGGCCACAGATCACAGTGACTCCAACAGAGTGACTCCAAACTTAGTCCAGGACCTGGCAGGATTAATTAGAGTTCTCTGGAGGATACGCAACAGTGCAGCCACAGGGTATAGCCATCTCCCATGGCAGGGGAGCACCTCAGCAAGAGAGAAAGGAAGATGACACAGAAAGCCACCTGCAGCACACAGAGCAATCACAATGGAATGAAAAATAACCAAAGCCTGCTAGTACAGGCTCTCCCTCTCCTCACCCCAACAAACTCCCACCACCATGATTTCTGCCCCACCTCAGGCCTAAAGCAATGGAACCAGCTGACCTTGGACTGAAACCTCTGAAACCATAAGCTAGAATAAATCTTTTTCTCTTTTAAACTATTGCTCTCAGGTATTTGTCATAGTTGTGCCAACTGAGTTCTCTTAGTTTGTGACAGTTTTCCAGACTTTTCTTGTCTTTGATGACCTTTGTTGGTTTTGAGTGCTGGCCAGGTAGTTTGTAGAGTACTCCTCATTTGGAATTTGTCTGATGTTTTACTCAGTACACTAGGACTATGAGTTTTGAAGAGGAAGACCCCAAAGGTAAAGTGCCCTCATCTTCACATATCAAGAGCACATATTATCAACATGATTTGATGAAGGTCATTAACCTCCATCACCTTACTAAAGAGTGTCTGTCAGGATTCTCCACTGTAGAGTTACTCCTCTTCTCTGTACTGTGCTCTTTGGAAGGAAGTCCCTATGCATAACCCACACTTATGGAACAGGAAGCTATGTGTTACCTCCTTAAAGGACAAGTAGCTATATAATTATTTAGGTTTTTTGTTTTTTTAAGCTCAGAAGATTTATCTGTTGTCCCCTATTTATTTAAACAAACTTAATCGAATGGATTCAGGATGGACTTATATTTACTTTATACTTTGAGTATATGAACACACACACACATATATTATTCAATACTATTATATTTTGTTGAAAAAATTGTTATAGCATTGGCCATTGAGAGCTCTTCCAATTGGTCCCTTTTTTTGTGTGTGGTACTGGGATTTGAACTCAGGACTTCACACTATGCCTCCAGCCTTAGGTCCCTATGTCTTTCAGGGCTGAGTGTATAGCTCAAGTGGTACAGCTCCTATCTAGCAAGTGGAAGACCCTGAGTTCAACCCCCTAGAACTATCAAAATCTATATTGGAAATGAAACATGAAAAATATTTCAAACTTTAAAAATCTTTGTCACCTCTTCCCAACCACAGTGATATTTCCTTAAGGACGAGAAGCCTCTAGCTGTTCCCCACGCCATTCTTTGGGGCACACCACAGATAAGAAAAGCAGTGCTGCACAAAGGCACGGGCGGGGGGTGGGGGGAGGAATTCAGTCTTGGTTCTTTGGTGTGGGCAGTAGGTGCCTGCAGAGTGTGCCAAGTGCCTGGGCCTCCTGCTTTCCCTTTGGAAGTAATCCTCTCTCATCCTCTCATGCTCAGCAGGTGAGGAAGCCAACCATGAAGCACCACCCTTAACAACAGGGTTTGGGATGTAGACAGGGAGGTAACCCCACTCAGAGCCAACCAAACTCCTTCCTGTCCTCCACTGGGCTTCAGCCGCAAGAACATGGGGCTGAAGTTCTTAGAGTCACTGTTGGGAAGATCAAGAGTGGAGAACAAAGCTGAGAAAGACCCACGCCATAAAGTGCTTAAGGCAGCCCTACCCCTAGCTATGAGCCAAGACATTCCCTTTCACTTATTCTGGTTTGGACTGAGTTTTCTGTTCCTCATAACAAAACACTCCCAGTATTGTGGGCCTGTATTTTTATCACACAGTTAATGGAGGTAAGGTAACTGAGGACTGAGGTGCATGACTCTAGGCCTGAGTCTCCTCCATCCTACAGAGAATGAGGCTCCAAAGAGAAAGAGAAAATAAGACAATCCCATTCCTGCACCCTCAAGTTTCTCTGCACACCTATTTACTGTCATCATCTCAGGTCAATGAAAAGCACTAAGGAAAGAGTTCAAATAAACCCCCTTTTAGGCTTATCATGGGAAATCTATTCTGTACCATCAGGCCCACTGAACTCCACTAGTCAAGAAACATCTACAAGCAGAAGACTACCTTGTTGGGACCTACGAATCATCAGTTCCATTACATGGTAAAACTACAGTAAAAGATAGATGATGGTAAACGGTCTGAACCAAGAGGGTCCCACTAGCTGGGTGGCAGTGGCTCATGACTGTAATCCTAGCTCCTTGGGAGGCTGAGATCTGGAGGATAGCAACTGGAGGCCAGCCCAGGCAACTAGTCCGTGAGACCCCACTTCCAAAATAACCAGAGCAAAATGGACTGGAGGTGTGGCTCAAGCAGGAGAGCACCTGCTTTGCAAGCATGAAGCTCTGAGTTCCGATCCCAGTCCCACCAAAAAAATTTTTTTAAAAAGAAGGTCCTACTGTGAACCAATGGTTGAACTGGGATGTGAAGCCACAAATTGGTTTCTGCCACAGAAGTGCTTTCTGCTAGTAGCAGACCATGTTCCCTCTGACCTTATAGGCAGAGCCCCATTAAGCCATGGTTCTAAAGTTCCCATTGACTGCAATTACAGTTGTAACACACACTTATCTTACCAGTACATGTCTATTTCAGCAACAAGAGATTCAAGTTCATAGCAAGTTACCTGGCTGCTACCTTAACCAGAAAGGAAATGGAAGGTGCTATCATTATCAGAGAGAAGGTGGGAGAAGCTGTTCACTGAGCTTTGCTTTTCCTCCTTAAGACTCAAGCATAGCACCAACATATGGGTCCAAAGGACAACTCATGGGCAGCACACTGTGGCAGCTAAGATGACTAGAGATGAGCTAATCAAGCTTGCATGAATTCCAAACAGAAGTGCAGTGTTACAGTGAGTTTGGTCCAGAGTCTGAGACCTCACCAGAGAGATGGGTTTTCTCATTTCTAGCAGTGATAGAAACTATCTCATCAGAGACAGTTGGTTCGAACAGTACAGTCCAGAAAAAGCAAGAGCCTAGGGTCGAGACCTAAGAGTTCTAGTCCAACATTGACCTATGTAACTAAATAACAGGTTCTTAATTACCCAGAGTTTAAAGATTAAAAACCTGCACTTTTTACTTGACTGGATTATGAGGATAAAACTAGACCTAACAAATGTGAAAAAAAAAATAGATGCACTCTATAAATGAGGCAGTTTTGGAGTGTGACGAGAGAACACTCTAGTGACGCTGGGCTGCTCTCATGACTGCTGGGGCAGGGCAAGGGGTAGAGGCCTGTTGCATGGCACCTGCACATGGTGTGTGAGCAGCCCAGGTATGAGCCCAGATCCAGCTGGATCCCACTGGGACAATGACAGACCCCAGTTTTTCTAGGACAGTCGCACTTCTGCATCATCTGGGGGTTTTCTTTCAATAAAGGCTATTCATGAAGCGCATCACTAAGTAACTGCGGTGCCTTTGTACAGCTGTTCAAGTGCGTGAATTCACAACTCCCAGGCACCTGCAGAACCTGCCTCAGCCAGTCAGCTCTCCACCTGGGCTCCTCAGCAGCGTGCTGAGCACCTACCCACTCAGGCTGCTCGCTGGGCTCTCCTTGTTTTCGGTCAGAGTCCGCAGGTGGGGGCGAGTAATCCTTCACAGGAGTGGAGAATTCCACAGGTCCCGTTCCTGGCAAGGGGAGCTTCAGCAGCGGGTAGCTGGAGTGAAGGAAAAGGAGAGAAGAGTGAGGATATCTGAGAGACAGGGTCTGCTGCGAGAGTGGTTAACACAGGAGCCACTGCAAGAGCAAATGAATTTTCTTTGCTAGGAGGACTCTATGTACATATCAAATGTTTAGAATCACAAATTTGCAAAGCTGAAATTCAGAAGTCATCCAGATCAAAATTTTATAAACCGAGTCACACAAAACTTACAAGGAAGTCCAATAAAGCAGATTGACTAAATGTTTTCAGAGAGTTAATAAAGACATGATGCTAAAAACAAATTAAAACACAGGATAATGATTAAAAAAAAAACAAACCTGGGAGGAAAACTATAAAAATCCAGCTGGATGGCAGAGCAACTGCTCCATTTAAAGGGGCAGACAATGAAGACTGTGTATAATACACTGAGGGTAGAGTTACACTAAACTATGTTGAACAGAAGTTAACGGACCCACCATGGCTTTGGCCTCACATCAACATTAGGCAAACAGATGTGCATTTGTTTCAGATCTCCCTTCAGAAATAATTTGTGCAGAACGATGGCAAGTTCAAGGACAGCCTGGACTATATATTCAAACACAAGCAAACAATGCATAAATCTTTTATTTTATTTTTTTTTTTTTGCAGTACTGGTGCTTGAATTCAGGCCCTTCACCTTGAGCGACTCTGCCAGTCCTTTTGGTGATGGGTATTTTCAAGATAGGGTCTTATGGAACTATTTGTCCAGGTTGGCTTTGAACGGAGATCCTCCTGATCTCTGCCTCTGAGTAGCTAGGATTACAGGTGTGAAACACCATCACCTGGCTACAATGCATAAATCTTAAGCACTCAGAGCAATGAGTTTTCACATATGTATCCCTGTGTAATCTACTGCCTAGATCAAGTTGCAGAGCAGTCCCAGAACCCGAAGGCAGCCCTGTGCCCAATACCAGTCAATACACATACCCATCACCTCCAAAGGTGGTGGGACTCAACCCAGGGTTTCATGCATGTTAAGATGTGCTCAGCCACTGAGCTACATCCCCAGCCCTAATTTTGCCTATTTTTGAATGTCATATAAAATGAAATCATCTATTCTATTAATGTACTCTTTTGTGATTGGCTGCTTTCACATAAATCATACCTGCTAGACTCCCCCACATAGGTGCATGTAGCAGATCATTAATTTTCATAGATATGTACTACTCCACTGGATAAATATATTACAATATATTTGTCTACTCCACTATCAAGGAACATTAGACCGTTTCCAGTTTGACCTATTTAGAATAAAGCTATTACAATCATTTTGTCTTGTTTTTGGCAGTACTGGGGTTTGAACTCAGGGGCCCACACTTGCTAGGCAGGCGCTCTGTCACCTGAGCCACTCCGCCAGCCCTGTTTGTGTTTTGTTTTGTTTTTTGAGATATGTTCTCAATGTGTACTCCAGGTGGACCTCAAACTCATTATCCTCCTGCCTCAGCCTCCTGAGGCCTGGGATTATAGGCATGCCCCATCACACCCAGCTGATCATTTTTAATGTGGCTTCTGGTGGTCATGAGCACTGATTTCTGTTGGGTATATTCTTAAGATGGTTTCTGAATTATGTGGTATACATGTTTAGCTTAACAGATACTACCAAAGTCTTCCAAAGCAGTTGTACAAATTTATGTTCCGACTATCACCAGCTGATCCAAGTTATTGCCACCTCTTTTTATTTATTTATTTATTTTAAGAGAGAAGGTCTCACTGTGTTGCCCATGCTCGAGTGCAGTGGCTATTCACAGGCATGATCCCACTACTGATCAGCATGGGAGTTTTGACTTAGGCTGGTTCACCCATCCATTTGGTGACCTAGTGGTTCCCCACTTCCAGGAGGTCACCATATTGATACTGAACTTAGTGAGAACACTCCATCAGTATAGCACATTACAGCCCACAACTCCTGGACTCAAGTGATCCTCCTGTTTCAGCCTCCTGAGTAGCTAGGACTACAGGCTGACACTACCACCTCTGGCTCATTGCCACCTCTTAATATTATCAGTCCAATTAACTCTAACCATACAGAGGAGGTAGTGGTATCTCATATGTGTGTGTGTGTGTGTGTGTGTGTGTGTGTGTGTCTTCCCTCAGTGCTAGAGATTGAATCCTGGGCCTTGTGTATGCTATGCAAGTACTCTACTACTGAGCTATATTTCTAGCTTTATTGTGGTTTTAACACATATTTTCCTGATAAGAAACAATGAAAATTCTTTCATATGGTTATTTGCCACTTGAACATAGCCTCTTCTGTGAAACATATCTTCAAGTTTTTGACAAATGTTTTTACTTTAAATACATTTACTACATTAATAATAGGAAACAATTACACCATCTCCTTACCCTCAATAAAATAAATTTCTACTTTTCTCTGGTTTCTTCCCATCTTTATCTACATACATTTCAAAACTACTTTTTGGGGTGTGTCTGTGCAGTACAGGGGTTTGAACTCAGGGCCTCATACTTAGGCAGGTGCTCTACCACTTGAGCCACTCTGTCAGCTTTCCAAACCATTTATTGACTAGGTATTATGTGCTGGGCATTGAGAATACAAAAAATACTACTATTGTCTGTCTCCAAGATGCTCTAACTAGCATCAAACTATTACAATGTGGTAAGAATTAACTTACGCTATGACTGTAGTTTTTTGGTTTTTTTGTGGTACTGAGGTTTGAACTCTGGGTCTACGCCACCAGTCCTTTTTCATGATGGGTTTTTTCAAGCTAGGGTTTCTAGGCTGGCTTCAAACCACAATCCTCCTGATCTCTGCCTCCTGAGTAACTAGGATTACAGGTGTAAGCCACTGGCACCTGGCTAGGACTGCAGCTTTTGCACAGTAACCCTAAGATGTGGTCAGTTTTTTGTTCTACTTTTAGAATGTGTATGTGTTGCCAGGTATGGTGGCTCATGCCTGTAATCCCAGATACTCAGGAGGTAGAGATTGGGAAGATCTCAGTCCAAGGCCAGCCCTGGGCAAAAAAAGAAGCGAGAGACTCTATCTGAAAAACAACCTAAAGCAAAAAGGCCTTGAGTCTAAACCCCAGTGTTTTTTAATCTGTTGATGATTTTAGGCTATTGAGGCAGAAGCCATGGAGGGGGTAAGTAATAGTAATAATGGAAAATTCATATGTGAGAACTACTCTAAGCACTTTACATACATTAGTTATGTAAATACTCCTCCCTAGGAGGCTGTGTTGTCATAATCTCCACGCTATAGCTGAGGCACAGTATGATTATGTACTGGCTGATGGTCACCCAGCTAAACCAATTGAGCCAAGTTTTTAATCCAAGCAGCAAGCTTCAAATTCTGTACTACTCAACATGAAAGCATATACAGAAAAAAAACAAAAACCTGCTTATGCTGGGTGACAAATGGCACCAGACCTTGACCTTTCCCCTTTAGCTATCACCCTACAGTCTAGGATAGTCCAACCTAAGGGTATTCAAATGGACAAAATGAAATTCCCTTGGCAAAAGGATCTGAGAATGCCTTGTTTCTTCTGCCTGCCTCTCCCTTTTTTGGCTTCCTGTCTGTCCAGTTCTGGGTTGGGCACCAGGAGCCTGGTGGTTTTTTCAATAGTCATTCTTTCAACAAATATTTGAGTGTCAACTCAGGGCCAAACGTTGTGCAAGGCCCAGAGGTGAACACGACAGACAAGATCTCTGTTCTCTTAAAATTTACAATCTAGTGGAGGCAAGAGAGACTAGGAGGCAACACTAGACCAGGGTAAGCAAGTGGGAATGAGAAAGAACTGATTCCAGAACAAACAGAAGAGTCCTAAGCAGGGAAGACTTCAAGCCATACCCAAGGGTTTAACTGCAACAATCCAAAACCTGTGAATTAGGGCCACACCACTTCCTGCTAATCCAATCCTCTCTTAATTTGTGACTGTCTGGTCACCTAGCCACCTGAGTCCCTCAGCCCATCAGCCTAGGTCATCAGCCACCAATGTAGTGGTCACCTTAGCCCTAGGGCTCATCTCCTTCCTGAGCCACCTCCACTCATCAGGGCCTGTCCACCTGTGGTTCTCAGTTCAGGGACCTTTGGTGTCTTGGTCAGCCAGGTTACCTCAGTGACATGCCTCCTTGGCCTGAGATTCAGCCTGAATGTTATGCTTTGTTCCAGAGCCGTTTTATTTTTTTCCTCACCCTCCCCCCACGCCCCACTTGGGTGCTTAGGATAAAATTCAGGGCTCATATATGCTAAGCACATGCTCTACCACTGAGCTACACCCCCAACCCCCAAAAACAGGTTTTCAAAACACTGCTGTCAGCTCCAGGTGTTTTCCTGCCAGTGTGAGGAGAATGGAGCCAGCAGTACCCTCGGGGAAGAACTGAGGATCTGTAGTAGTACCGCCCCATCTGTTCCTCCTGATGAGTTCTCACTCTTTGTGTATTCTACATATGAAGCCACAGTCTTTTTCCATGTGAATGTGCATCCATTCACAGCTATCAAGTTCCCTTAGCACTGTTCACACTGGTGTACTGTGTTTCACTGTACTATATTTTTGTTTTCATCACTTCAAGGTATTTTCTGATTTCCTTCTGATTCCTTTGTGTGTTTTGTTTTTGTTTTTGTTTTTGGGTGGTACTGGGGTTTGAACTCAGGGCCTCATGCTTGCTAATCAGGCACTCAACCACTTGAGCCACTCCACCAACTCCTTCTGATTCCTTTGACCCGTTGATTATTTCTGAGTGTGCTTTTAATTTCCACTCATTTGTGAGTTTTCTGAGTTTTTTTGTTTCATTTTATTGTGATCAGAATATTTTGTATGATTTCAAACTTCATTAAAAGTTTATTAAGGGCTGAGCACCACTAGTTCACACCTGTAATCCTAGCTACTTGGGAGGCTGGAATTGGGAGGATCTCAGTTGGAGGGCAGCCTAGGCAAACAGTTCATGAGATTCCCATCTCCAAAATAACCACAGCAAAATGGACTGGCGGTGTGGCTCAAGTGGTAAGAGAGCCTACTTTG